GAAAGAGTGGTGGGGGTGACAGGAAGCACAAGATTCATGTGCAGGAAAGAAACACATGCAGCTGGGTGGATTTAAGGAAGGCAACAGCTGAAGAACATGGACACTGCCCCTCAAGAGGCCCATGGCATGCATGTTGCCCGATATAACCAGATCTTGGGCCAGTTGCAGCTGATACCCAAGAAAACTAACTAGACTGAAAAAATACTATAGTGCTTTGGTTATTTATCCTGTGTAATTTGTAAAACATTCTTCACTTCCTGTGCAACCACCAAGTAGCCAGAAGGCTATGGAAACTTTTGTTCCTCTGCATGCCTGATTACTGACACAACAAAGAAAACTTTAGGGGTACAAAAAAGTGTGTTAGCTCTTACCATAGCAAGTTGTTCCCTCAGCTGCTCAACCACTCGTTTGTGTGCTCTCGCCAAGGCAATAAAATAGAACATAACGAGGCTGCAACCAACAAACCAACATTCTGCATTAGCATCACACAAAACACCCTTACTCAGAGGAAGGCTGCTAGGGCCCAGAGGGACTGTCAGCTTGTGCATTTCTCTGCAGACACACTTGTGCTGCCAGCAGGCAGGGACACAGTGCAAGGGGACAGAGGCATGGCCACTTTCCAGTGTTACAGGTTGGGTTCTGACAGCTCTCTCTAGACTGGCAGTTCCTGCCGTGCTCCAAGTGTACGTATGGGGGAGGTTGCTCCTCAGACACTAAGTTTATCAAGGTTTCACTGGAGTAACTCTTTGCTCCAGTTGGGATTTCTAGGGTAAGTAGCCAGAGATCAGTACTGCAGACACTCCTTATAGCAAGTATTCCAGATGTGATCTGTGACACAGCTTATCTACAGAGCATTAAATGAAGAAAAGCAGTACAAAGAAATAGAATGGTAAAAAATGCATATATAAATGTTATTTTCTTTTCCAAATAATAAGTAGTTGGGTAGCAGTGCAAGTCATCCTCCACCTCTTATACAGGCTTTATGATAAAGTAAAATAAACCAAAAAAAACCCCACAAACAAAAAACCCTCACCCAAACCTGAAACGAGGACTTTATATTTCCTGTGGACACAGTAACAGGATCACTTTAGGAGAACACATAACCATGTGTTATGGAAAAAAGGGCTGGGGGGAGTCTAAAATAAACTGCATTGTTTCTCAAGTGTACAAGTTTTAGAAAGTATCAGGTAACAAGGCTCCAAGATCTGAGAACAACTGTATTAAACGGAAATCGAAACAAAAAAATTTGAACATTAAAAAAAAAAAAACTGCAAAAGTGACCAAACACTGGAACAAGTTGCCCAGAGAGGCTGTGGAGTCTCCATCCTCAGAGACACTCAAAACCCAACTGGATACAGTTCCTGAGCACCTGCTTTAATTGACTTTGCTTTGAACAGGAGGGCTTGATTAGATAACCTGTATAGGTGACCTCCAATCTTTCCAATCTTAAAAAACAAAACAAAACAAAAAAAAAACCACACACCACTATAGTGAATTTTATCCTACAGAATGACCGGTTTGGGGGTTTTTTTGGTGGTAGTTCTTAGTTTTGTTTTTAAACCAAGGCTTGTGGATAGAATATTTCTTTTTAGGCTTTTGCAGAACATTTCACGGTTAACACTGTGAAATGACAAGTGTGGGATATGGGACATGCAAGAGGAAATGGAATAAAGCTAATGAGTGTGAACACATGGGCAAAAAGACATTAGAGCTGAGGATTTATATGGGCTTTTGATTGCAGATGGAAAATCTGGTCTAATAGTTGTTTGGTATCTGTTCAGTAAGAAAGGCTATGAAACATGCAGTTGCATGACTGAATCAGCTCTCCAAGGTACTCACCAAATGACCATAAAAAACGGCACTGCAAAGGCTTCTGATGCTATGCCATTAAGGACTTGCTGCAGACCTACTGGAAATCCAAGTATTGTATGTGGAACAACTGACCATGAAGTGTTAAAATTCCTGAATGGCCCACATGCTTTGGAGGAGGGGATGCTGTCAAAGAAGCAGAAAAGAAAGGAGATGCTACACCAAAATGTAAAGATAAAATAATCCAGCACAAGCCCAGCACCCTTTTGCCAATGGGATAAAAATGTCCTTTGTCTTCAGAACCAGAATTTTTGCTATGAATCAAGTTATAATTTGATTTATTATATACAATATATTTTTTTCCAATGTATCATTCCAAAGTTGTGTCTTTTTCAGGAATTGACAAGCTTAGAACAAATGTCAACTGCAGAGAAGCTAAACTGTCACTTACTGTGCAATGCTGATTCCCAGAGGAATAAAAGCCAAGACAAGCCCAATCAACAAGACCACCAAGAAAAAAAAATTGGAACTTGATGCTCTGATAGGCCTGGCTGCAGGCTTACACGTGTGTATCAAACTGATCTGAAGAGGGAAAGGAAGCAAAACTGTTACCAGTACTTCTATATACACATATCAAAGTACACTTTCCCCATCAACTGAATTTTCCATTCTCAAATATGCTACCAGTTAAAACAAAACCATCCTTTGATGTACATGGACTGAAAAGGGCTAAGACAAGAATGCTTTATATTCCAGTGTAAGTAAATGTCTTTGGAGCAAGGATTTGATCCAGAGAGCCTCATACACTTGGGCAGAGTCAACTGACAGAGCCATTTGGCCTATGAACCATGGCACAACCTTTAGCTTTGTTCTGCCACTTCTTCACTGAACACACCCCATCTTGTACAAACTAAAGTATCAGTAAGAATTTGAAGCACAGAAGGAGCTCTGTGGTCATACAGCAAAGCTTGTGATATGCAGGAATCACATCCTGAACATCCAACTCAGCTTGCTTTTTCCATTTTGCTTTCAAACTTTCAGCAGCTTGGGAAAATTTTGTCCAAGTTCTAAGCTGTAATGCTAGCAAATAGATTATTGCAGACAAGTGTTATAAAGTAGCCTTAGTATATAAAAAGATTTTATTTAAAACACCCAGACAAATAATTGAAGAGGTAGTTATGGAAATGCTGTTTTGCTTGACTTCAAAGCAAAATTCTGCCTTCTCTTAATAGTGAAAAAACTACAGAGAATAGAATATCAGTACCTCATTTCCAGTACACTGCATCCTTGTGTGTTTTTAGGGTTTGTTGTTTGGTTTAAATCCACTGCATACCTATATTGCAAAACCCACTGAGATATGTTCAATTTTGTTTATTTGCCACACACTTTCACTACCTTTTTAATGTAAAAGATGATAAAGTATTTTATAGTTGCTATTGCAGGGAGAAGTGGTGAAAAGAAGGTTCCAATCCAGCAGATGGTTTGCCCATAAACAATTTCCAGGACATTTTCAGAAATTCGAAATTCCTGCAATCCACACCACTGAACTGGCTTGCAAGTGCAATGAGTAACAACCAACCTAAAACCAAAGCAAGTCATTAGTTCTAAACTCAAGCTATGGAGCTTAGCTGAACACACAGTAGGAATGCATGGACATTTAGCATCTAAGCATTAGATAAAATAACAGAAAAACATCTGAAGAAAAATTACTCGAATATCAAAAACTACACAGGCATCTGAATGGCAAGCAAGTGCTCAAATCATCAGAAATATGTTTATGTTTCATTTTAAAACTGGCAATCTGGTCAGACATATGGAGAATTAATAAGAGGGGGAAAAAAAAAAGAAGTGTTACATACATCATTTGCAAAAGTATGCTTACAAGGTGGAGACACTTACTTTCTAGGAAAGTCCAAAAACAGGGTCACAGCAAAAATTATAATAAAATCAAATATCATCAGTTTATACATTTCTTGCCCAACTTCAGATTCCCAGCACTATAAAAACAAGTCAGGAAAAACAAGATTAGGAATCTAAATAACTGGTGAAAAATAAATCTGTCAGTCACTAAAGCAACAAACACCACAGTCAGTTGACAGCATGAAGTTCAAATCGTATTAAGTCCCATTTCTAAAATATTTAAGTGTTCCAGAGCGTCCACGCCAAGCTCTTTCTTTGGTGTTTTTTTTTGGGTTTTTTTTGTGTTTGTTTTGGTGGTTTTTTTTTCTGTGTTTTTGGTTTTGTTTTGTTTGTTTGTTTTCAGAAAGACAATTTGTCTTATTGAAACAAAGGGCAGTAACACAACTGTCTCTGAAACAGAACTACCTGAAACAATCCTCATGTTTGAAGGTAGTCAGAAAGTTTACATTGAACAATCTGCCACTGGACTAATTCTAATCAGAGTTTTAAAAAAACAAAAGACACACATTAAAACTGTAGTGGTGTGCACGGAGCAGTAGGAATCAGCACCAGGTATAAAACCAACAGCAACCCCAGGTCTGAATCTGAAACCCTCCAGACAAGCAAGTCTCACGGAAAAACAAATCTCTGCTCACAAGTTCAGATAATTAAAGCCCAAGATAAGTCTGCTTACAGGATAGAGTTTGTAATTGTATCCACAGGCCTTACACTCGTCGGTGGCACAGTCGGAGATCTGACTCCACAGCGAGATCAGGAGAACACCGATATTGGCCAACCGCACAAAGACACACCTGGAAGAAAGGCAGAGCTTCATTCCAAACCTGCCAAGAAGCGCCATCCTAACACCCAGCTCACCTGGCACACGAGTCCAAGATGGCTTGGAACACACAAGGGTCATACAGAACTTTAACAGAATGGCCAGCTAGATAATACACACATTAATTTCCTTAGTATGAAGTTAAATTGCTTCTCACTTTCCCTGCTTTAGGCTACAGTCTTTGTTCCTTTTCTTAGTCTTTTTCCCAGATCAGTCACTTTGTTTGAAATCTTGATGCTGCAACGGGCTGTCAATCTCCCAAATACAGTTTGAGAGGCCAGGTGACAACTGTGTGCAGCTTCTCCCCTCTCAGGCGGCTTCCAGCCCTCAGAGGCACTTGGTCAAATCAGAGATACAAAACATGGGTGCCGGTAGAGTTCAGATGCTTCAACCACGATCACACTGCCTTAAGCTGCCAAATCCTAGTGCTTTGTGCTTTCACACCAAAATATCTTATCTCAAAGCTTTAAACTTCTGCCTTGAACAAAGCTGTGCTTCAGTCACTGCTGTACATACACATTTGCTCATTCAAGGAACTGCTGCATGCAAAGCTATGGGAATCCACAGCTCTGCAGCCACAACTTCTCTACTATTTATTTAGGTTGTTGAAGATGTTCAGACCACACAGCTAAATGGGACTGACAGAAAAACGTGAACACTGAAATGACTGTGCTGTACTGCCATCAAAACAGGAGACTGTTGCCAGATTTAAAATTCAAGCATCCAACTAAACCTAAGTCAAACAATGCCTGCTTGGCTTCCAGTGCCCAGGCCCTCCAGTGCAGAGAGTTCAACATCTCTACTTCTTGGTATTTCCATGTTTACAGCACTTGTAACCTACCAAGAACAAGCTGTTGAAACATCCAAGGCCACAGTAAAAACATCTTTACCTCATGAGTGTCAGTCTGATTTCAAAGGCTGGTGAATAATCTTCAAATCTGATCAGAAATGAGAAGATCTGAGGAGCAATGAAGTTGGCCAATGTGATCACCATGGAAGGCAAATACTGCACTAAGAGATTAGTCCGGAAGTTCATATTGCTGACACTCTGTACAAGAAGAGATGGCAGAAAGGTAATATTCAGAGAAACACACTTCCTGACATGTGCTCTTTTCAGCTTCCCACCAGCCTCTCTTGTCTAGGACTGAGGTAACATCTTTCACTGTCCTCATCCCCCAGCTATATTTGCAACTACAAGCCTGACCACTGCTATCTACTGCTGCAGTTTGCTGCTATACCCCTGCTTCCTCCTGCTCTCTCCACCAGTAATTCCCTCCACCTCCAGGTACAGGCATTTTTGTGCTTCCCCAAAGCTTCTGTTTGAAGCATTGTTGTCTATGTTGTCTAACTCGGAACTAAGACTACCAGCTTAGAAGTAGCTTATGCCTAAGTGCAGGCACTTTTCAAGTAATTCATGCTCGTGCCAACCAGCTCCCCTGACTTCCCTACCATCTTTATAAGCTCCTCTGCTTACCCATCTAGGCAAGGTGAAGACAATAATCCTTATACATAAAGCTGACACCAAGGGAGGGTGTTTTTCAAGTTGTTCAGTCTTGTGCTATCTTATTCCTCTGCCCTCACACAATACCTCTGACACAAACACTTCTTTAGTCTCCATTTCCTGCTTATCTCTGCAATCCCGGCAACTCAGAGCAGTTAAGAGCTACATCCACCACAAGCACAACTTTTCCCTTACACAGCCAGTGCCTGTCACATCACCAATGAACAGAAGGAAGAGAAAAAGTGTGGTTCCTATTCATGGGGCTTAATTCAACCCTGGGCTCCTACAGAGGAGTCAGTTGCGAAACCATTGAAACTATTGTCTGCCCTTGTTCTGCTTCTGAACTGCTCTTCCCATCTGCTTGTCCTGCCAGGGGTGAACACCACCACCCAACCTGATTCCTGTCACTACTGATGCAAGAACCTTTTCTTCTGAAAAGCGCTCAGTGTTCAAAGTCTTCCTGTTTCCGCACACAGCTATAACTCAAGCCACAATACAGATCACAAGCTTTACTCTCCCCTTCCCTTGCTGTTCATTTTTGCAGTTGAGCAGCGAAGCAGATCATGAAACTGATGATGCTGAAGTTTGTTTTAACCAGATCAGTTCCATCAGTGAGCTCACTGTCCAGACACACAAGTGCTTGTGCCAGCAGATCAGCGAGGTGAGAACGGCTACATGGGAAGGAAAGCGAGGGCTGCTCTTCTTGTCAGCTGCATTAGCCCCAAGGTCCCCCCCCTATCAAAGGGGGATGTGACTGGTGGGATTTTTTGCACATAGTTCTCAATCTTTCCCACTCTCTCCTACTAAAAAAAATCCTAAATCTGAACAAAGCATTTTCAGATCCCTAGCGTGAAAGGTGCTATATTAAGATACTTCACTCTTTCACAATAGTTCCTCTTGCTGTAATTATCAGCCCCAGATGAATCTGTCCTAATGTCACGCCTGATACTTACGTTGGAATTTTCTTGAGAGAAGACAGTTGCTTTATAAATACAGTAAAAACACACTGTTAAAACTGCAATGACAATTATATTTATAAGTATTCTCAGTGAGTAGATGTGTAGCTTTTCTTTCATTGTCCTGTCAGCTATTTTTTGCTTCATTCTTTCCTCCTCCAGGTCTGTCTAAAAACAAAAGAAAAAGGATGTGCAGTTTTCTGGTGCAGCATACAAGTTGGTACCATGTGCTCTATCTCCGAGATGTGCAAATCCACACCCTGTTCTAGGAGGGTCACTCCACTGCCTGTCCAAGCACATTGAACCAAGAGCACCTTTTCATTGACACAAACAGGTCCACACAGTAGTGGAAGCCCCTGTGTGCTCAGCCTGCTCAGGCTGAGGGCCCTGCAGCCAAGGACGAGTGTCTCATATTCCTGTTATCCCAACTGTACCAGCAACATACCTCCTTGAGGACAGAAAGACAGCTTGCCTGCTTATTGTGAGAGACTGACAGCTTGGTACTAAACTCTGAATCGGGTAAATCAGTCCACTAATATCCTTACTTCTGCAGGTAAGTAACCAGTCCTCACCACTATGGCTTGAACTTCCTTCTTCTACTCTTTATAAAGGAAAATTTGGGGATGGCACAGAGAGAAACAAGTGCAGTCTTGAGCAGCTTGTCATGGAAACGTGGTATGTTTCGCCTTAGCAGATGTGAAACTACAGCATCACCTGTGAAGGTACTTTAACCCGGGCAGACACACACATCACCCAGGGCTTTCCTGAGGACTTATTTCTGTCGAAAAGTATTATTAAGGGGCACGTTCTTCTAAGGTGTGAGTTCTAGAGGCACAAGTGTGGTAAATGAAGGAGTCTCTGCTTATATGATGAAAAAGGATGACTATGAACTTTACTAGAGCAGAAAGCAACTCACTGTAATTTATGAAATCTGTAATTACTGCTTTGTGGTTTGAAGTGGAAGTATCTTTTCAAAGGTTATTTTTTTCACTACACAATCTCTGCTTCCAGTGTACAGAGCGTAAAAAAAAGGTACTGGTTTCACCAGAAAAGCCTTTCAGGCTCTCTCTCCTACAGGCTGGGCAG